AGAGAGAGAGAGATAGATAGATAGATAGATAGGTAGATAGGTAGATAGGTAGATAGGTAGATAGGTAGATAGGTAGATAGGTAGATAGGTAATTAGATGAAAGAGAGAAAGAGAAAGAGAGAAAGAGAGAGATAGATAGCTAGATAGATAGATAGATACATAGAAGATAGATAGGTAGGTAGATAGTCAGAGAAAGAGAGAGACAGAGAGGAGACCTCAAGCACCTTTCGGTCCATCTGTGGATTCGCTTTGCCATCCCTGATTCACAACAACCAACCTCTCCTATAGGTTTCCAATTTTTGAAACTTCCGCCACTGCCTTGTGCGGTACTACTGGTACTATATCACAACGCCGCATATTTTACGGAATGAGATGAGTATATAAGTCAACCACCGGCGCCTGGCGAGGCAAGAGCACCGTCCGTCCACGGGCCGTCGCCGGCGTAGCCTGGAACGGATGTTTGATGATGTTTTGGAACGGGTTTGGGGGTTGGTTGTTTCATATGATGTTTTATTATTGATGATGTTTTGGAAATAGATGTTTGATGTTATTTATCTTATTTCCACAAACAAAACACCACTGAGCACATTTGAACGTCTTCAAATCAATCCGTTGATAATTGTGAGGGTTGGTTACCCACTAGTAAACCAACAGCCACGGAAAACCAGCATGTTTAACAGCGAATTCATCTAAGTACATCTTCCATTTGTTTTCATCCATTTTCATTTTCCAAACGGTTAAATTCGACCAGTTTTCCCAGGGGAACAGCTTTCTCAGGCACCACTTTTTAAGGGCCTCTGGGGAGATGGGTCTTGGAGCTTTGACCTGAAAGGTGGACATGTTTCGGTGAAAATATGTGAAGATGCTTTGGCAACCATAAGAAACCAATCAAAAATGTCTTGTGATTGCTGAATTTTGTGGTTGAATATTGTGGTCTAATATTAAGCACCCCCTAGATGGTCCCAATTGTGTATACATCCCCACCATGGTTTTTATGGGGTGTCTAATATTAGGGAGACGGGATTATATTGAAGCCCCAAATATCTCAGACATTGGTGTGAACAGGGGGAAATAATATTACGAATCTACACATGTTTGTACGGTTGATTTCTGCTGAACGAACCATAACATAGTGAGGTCGGTGAAAATGGATGGCCATGGGAGTCATCGATCTACTCATCAATCATACTGGCAGCTTCCAAATTGACAAATCAAACCAATACGTTGGGTCCGAGCATGTTGGCTGGTGGTTTCACAAAAGGGGAAAACGGGAAAACATACCACATTCATGATGAATATGATGGAAATATGACTTTTCTGCTAATCAATCACACCTAGAAAGCTGCTCTAAGCAGTGGAGTTCTAGTTCCTTCTGATTGTTGAGACTCAGGTGGTTCATGTTTGGCGTTTTTCCTCTAACTCCATCTTAAGTTACTTGCAGTAGGCTTTTTGTGGCCATATCAATATTCTTCACACATCTTGATCAAACCTCGATGAACCCCCCACCTGTTTGATCACCTCTGGTGCAGCTTTCTTCTTCTCAACCTGGCCAACTCCAATCCTCCCAACAAAACCAGCAAAAACCATGGTAAGAATGGGGTTGATTAATATTAGGGAGATGCGTTTAAGGTTAGCTAAGATCATTGGATTCAATATCCCTGCGCCAGTTGATAACAAAAAACACCACGATTTGATGATGCAAAGCAAATTGATGCAAAAATCATTGACTTTTTCCTTGGATTGAACATGTTGCAGGAAAACATTTGTTTTTCCATGTAAGCATGGTTTGATTCGTACGTGTTCACATCTTCTATAAAATCCGCCAACCCCTGCCTAGCTTTGGCCTAGGCGGGGCGGCGCCCGGGATCACCGCAGGTGTGCAGCTGTGGCCTGCTAGAACGACTAGGCCTGCCTCAGCTCACCTCTCTGGCTTTTGCAAGCTGCCTGGGCATGTATCTTTAAGGGGTTTCGAAACTGCTCGGCCTGCTACGGCCTCCTTGCCTCACTCCAGCCTTCCAAGGTGCTTGGTCATGTATCTTTAAGGGGTTTCGAAACTGCTGGCACGTTTTAGCCAGGCTTGAAAAGCCTTAAAACCCCAACCTCAAACAGCTCCAGCCTTCCAAGCTGCTTGGGCATGTATCTTTAAGGGGTTTCGAAACTGCTACGTGGCACTTTTTAGCCAGGCTTGAAAAGCCTTAAAACCCCAAAAACCTCAAACAGTGTAAAACTAGCCTGCTTGTGTCAGCACGAGCCTGCATCTGTCGATGGTCGCCCTGCTTCAGCCGCCCAACTGGGTCTATTTTGGGTCTATATACGGCACAGCCCTTGCCTCACCTCACCGCTCTGGCCCCTCCAAGCTGCCTGGGCATGTATCTTTCAGGCGTTTCGAAACTGCTAAGCTGCCTGGTCATGTATCTTTTGCCTCACGTCTCTGGCCTGCTACGGCCTCCTTGCTTCACTCCAGCCTTCCAAGCTGCCTGGTCATGTATCTTTAAGGGGTTTCGAAACTGCTACGTGGCACGTTTTAGCCAGGCTTGAAAAGCCTAAAAAAACCAAAAACTTCAAACAGTGTAAAACTAGCCCGCTTGTGTCAGCACGAGCCTGCATCCGTCGACGGCCGTCCTGCTTCAGCCGCCCAACTGGGTCTATTTTGGGTCTATATACGGCACAGCCCTTGCCTCACCTCACTGCTCTGGCCCCTCCAAGCTGCCTGGGCATGTATCTTTCAGGCGTTTCGAAGCTGCTAAGCTGCCTGGTCAAGTATCTTTTACATCACGTCTCTGGCCTGCTACGGCCTCCTTGCCTCACTCCAGCCTTCCAAGGTGCTTGGTCATGTATCTTTAAGGGGTTTCGAAACTGCTACGTGGCACGTTTTAGCCAAGCTTGAAAAGCCTTAAAACCCCAAAAACATCAAAAAGCTCCAGCCTTCCAAGCTGCTTGGTCTTGTATCTTTAAGGGGTTTCGAAACTGCTACGTGGCACGTTTTAGCCAGGCTTGAAAAGCCTTAAAACCCCAAAAACCTCAAACAGTGTAAAACTAGCCTGCTTGTGTCAGCACGAGCCTGCATCTGTCGATGGTCGCCCTGCTTCAGCCGCCCAACTGGGTCTATTTTGGGTCTATTATACGGCACAGCCCTTGCCTCACCTCACCGCTCTGGCCCCTCTAAGCTGCCTGGGCATGTATCTTTAAGGCGTTTCGAAACTGCTAAGCTGCCTGGTCAGGTATCTTTTGCCTCACGTCTCTGGCCTGCTACGGCCTCCTTGCTTCACTCCAGCCTTCCAAGCTGCCTGGTCATGTATCTTTAAGGGGTTTCGAAACTGCTACGTGGCACGTTTTAGCCAGGCTTGAAAAGCCTAAAAAAACCAAAAACTTCAAACAGTGTAAAACTAGCCCGCTTGTGTCAGCATGAGCCTGCATCTGTCGACGGCCGTCCTGCTTCAGCCGCCCAACTGGGTCTATTTTGGGTCTATATACGGCACAGCCCTTGCCTCACCTCACTGCTCTGGCCCCTCCAAGCTGCCTGGGCATGTATCTCTAAGGCGTTTCGAAACTGTTAAGCTGCCTGGTCAGGTATCTTTGGGTCACGTCTCTGGCCTGCTACGGCCTCCTTGCCTCACTCCAGCCTTCCAAGGTGCTTGGTCATGTATCTTTAAGGGGTTTCGAAACTGCTACGTGGCACGTTTTAGCCAGGCTTGAAAAGCCTTAAAACCCCAAAAACCTCAAACAGTGTAAAACTAGCCCGCTTGTGTCAGCACGAGCCTGCATCTGTCGACGGCCGCCCTGCTTCAGCCGCCAACTGGGTCTATTTTGGGTCTATATACAGCACAGCCTTGCCTCACCTCACCGCTCTGGCCAAGCTGCCTGGGCATGTATCTTTAAGGCGTTTCGAAACTGCTAAGCTGCCTGGTCATGTATCTTTTGCCTCACGTCTCTGGCCTGCTATGGCCTCCTTGCCTCACTCCAGCCTTCCAAGATGTACAGAAAAACCCTGCGCACATGCGCATGCGACCATTAACAGGGGTCGGCGGCACCAGGGCGTTAGCCCATTTATTATTCACACATATACACAAGCTATGTTGGGATAATTCCCCCCTCTACTAAACAGTATTTATTGTGAGGTTGCTGTAACCTCGCTTTAGATTGCCAAATGCATTGGCATAATTCTGGTATCTCAGTAGGGGTTCAAAATCGTGGTCTTGTTGGCTATTGGTTACCCATTCTTATATCTTGTGATCTTGTGCTAACTTCTCTTGGCTCACAAATTTAGGGTCCCAAGATCAAGCAGTCTTTGGCTTCCCACTACCCGAACGCATATACAAAACCACAGAAATATGGCGCAAGACGGCGCACATATCAGCATCTGCGATGTTGGATTGGGGTGTATATATATATATATATTATACACACACCCAGTTTCTGCTTAACAACCCCCCAAAAAATTGGATAACTATCCTCTGCCTCAGGCTCAACCTGCAACATCTTAATGATCAAACACACCCAAATGGTGAACAACTGGGTTGGAAGCACCGGTTCTAAGTGGTTAAGTGGCTTACAAGTCTTACAAGTGACAAGTGGATACACGTGGGCTATGAGCCAATCACAAACATGACTGAGATATTCAGGGATATCCGATCCTCCTACCAAGCATCCAACCAGCCATTCCCCAATCACTTTGCCCACTTAAATCACCCAGTCTACTGCCAGTTGAAATCTGGCTGTATTCAAGTCGTTGTTGTTGGTCAAAATTTTCCCCTTGAAGTTCTAACCCGTCCTGGATTCTTTACAGGGATGCCTTTGGGGTGCAAAATCCTAATTTTTTCAGATCAACCAAACTCCTAACTATATACTGTATAGTTTTAAGTTTTAATCATCTCAAACCTTAGTTCAGCTATAGTAGTTATGCTTACCAACTTGGCTACTATGGAGGATCATCCCAGGTATCGTAAGTGGCTAAAAGCCCTGGTGATCGTAAGTACCTATTCAGTGTGAGTTTATCCCATTTATATGTAGGTTATAATCCCAGTTGCTAACCAGTTACAAAGCGGATTATATCCACTTAAATCCCTATATTTTACTATATTTTCATAGTTAAAATCCCTGCTAAGTCGCAAATAATCCCAACACGGGTTCCAAGATCTTCCAAGTAACTGGGGCACCACCTTGTTCCCTTCAACCCATCCCATCCCCGAGCTCCGAGACACCGAGTCCACGGCACCGGTTGTGGCGCCGTTGGTGGCGCCGTCATTGCGAGCCACTAAGCCTCGGACAGCGCCAATTCGCAAATTCGACCAACATTTGTCCATCATTTTTCATATTTTTCCACCTGCTACCAAGTGACGCGTCCTCGGCGCCGCACTGCGCGGCCGCTCCGTGATCACCTTGGCGAGGCCGCGCTGCACGACCCGTGGGCTCGAAGCAGGGCTCTGCACCACACGGGAAGCGGAGACCACGGTGCGCGCCGCAGGAGCAGAGACCACCTGAGGCCAGGAAGCGGTGAAAATTGTCGCAGAAATATCTATATCTATATCTATATATATATATTATATGGATTTATATTTGTATATACATACATATATACATATATATTTATTTATTTATCTATACCTATGTGTATATATATATATATTATTATTATTAGTATTATTATTATTATTATATATATATGAGGGGTTATTATATCGTTTTTGGTGCACATCTGATATACATATGCTTATATGACCATTTAATTTTCATGGTGCAACATGGTGGATATATCTATATATATAATATCAATTAATATTTGGGGATTGAGGATTGACAAATAAAATATGGGTGTTTCTTAAAATGGTGGATGCCCAAATCACCATGGTTGTTGACCTATACTAAGCCAAGGTCATTTCTGACTTGGATGACTTGGGGGTCCCCCAATGACTTAGGAAACCTCCATGCACAAGCATATTGTAACATCATCCTGGTTTCAAAGCTATAACCATATGATATATAAGCATATAGAATTTAAGTGTCATGGTGCAACCTAGATCATATGGTTATTAGAATGCTTTTTGGATATGTTTGCTTTATTGAAACCAGGAAGAACATTGGTGAAAACATGGTCTATGATTTACAAACTTTGGGTAATAGAGATATAAACCCTCCAAATACCAAATACAAGACTTCAAGATCTCTTCTGACACCCTTTTAAATTGTTTGTTATTTGTTATTATTGTGCCTTTTCTCAACTTTTCTCGTTCAAAAGAATGGATTACTGATGTTTATATTGGTTATTTTTGTTTCTCGCTAATTGAATCAACCAAGAAACTAGATGAACCGTTTAAAGTAATTAACCCCATGATACCATGATACACCAACAGGCCCCAACACCAGTCCCAACACCTTCAACATAGACTTTTATGTAGAAATTTAGCTGAACAAAAGAGAAAACGGATGAAAAGGGTAGATACCGATATCTGTACATATCTGTACGGTTTGGCAATTCAATTTGATACAGGAAATCATCACTTTAACATTGGAAGATTCTGGGATTCCAAGCTGCCGATGAATTAATCATTGTTTGTTGATCAGCCCCCCTTTTCTAGATACTTTTGGTCCTGAAACGACCACTCTTGCTATCAAACATGCCCGCTTACTTGACATCCCCATATTTGTTGGCAAATGCATGTACCCAGTTTCATTATATAAGTTCCGCTGATGTTTGGGTTTCCATCATTCATAATCCATAATGTTTAATGATTCGAAGCCTCAACATATTCTGTTTCGAAGCAAAAAACCATCACATGGGACTGTTGCTCCAAACATGTTTGAACCCTCATATTTGTTTTTTTCTGGTAATCATGCAGCCATTTCGGCCAGTCACCCCCCATTTTTTGTGAGTTAAATCCTCACTTCTTTGCTTAAATCGCAACTTTTGTTGGTCAAACACAATTTTTTTTGTGAATCCCCCCATGTTCTGGCTACCTGGAGGATCATCCCATTTAATAACTAGTTAGTAGCCATAGTTCGTTCCACTCGTTCCAGCTAACTCATTTGACTTGCTAACCAGTTTTTTCTCAGTTACCATCCGTGGGATGATCCTCCAACTATAAATTTGGTTGATAATGGCCATTAATGGGACTTAAAGGGAAGATCCAACTATAAATTTGGTTTGCTGATCCTCCATTAATCCCCATTAAATCCAATTATATAAATCCTGTTGAATCTCATCAAACCCGTTGATAAATGGTATGGTCAATCCAATGTCCATTCTTCAAAACAATGCTGTAACATAAAACCATACACTGACACCATCCCCAAGTCATCACCATTTTTACAGGTGGGGTTTCAACCATCCCCACATTTCTTGTCTAATATTGTTGGTTATACGCCTATGATGAACCACTATTCATCATTATACACCATGGTTAAACCCATTAATGTTTGTAAAACAAGAACCAACTAACCATCCATATGTTGATGGTTATATACCATCCATTTCTGGTCAATTTGGGGATGATTTACTATTGCTTTATTAAGATTATATCCCATCAATATGATTGAAAAGGAAGTGTAGAAGTCAAACTTCCGACAATATGGGCAGATGAAAAGCAGAGGTGGTAAGAGTCAAAGAAGAGAAGAGAAGAGCAGCAGAGAGAAGATCAGAGAAGAGAAAGAATCAGAAGATGCAGGTGCACGAAAAGGTAGGAAAGTCGCAAAACACTGTGTTTTTCCCATGATTTGAGGCTCCGGAGGGTCGAAAAGTAGGCTCACTAAAGCGGCGGGTGCGGAGCCAGCTGGCCAGATGAGAGATGAAAAATTGCACGCCGTTGTGGCGCGAAGCACATTTCCAAGTCAAAATGTACAAAGCACACCATGCTCGGACCACTTTTGGAAGTTGAGATGTCGAAAAAGTGCACACTGTTGTGGCGCGAAGCACATTTCGAAGTCAAAATGTACAAAACACACCATGCTCGGACCGCAATTGGAAGTTGAGATGTCGAAAAAGTGCACGCCATTCTGGCGCGAAGTACATTCCGAAGTCAAAAAGTACAAAGCACACCATTCTCCGAGCACTTTTTGGAAGTTGAGGTGTCGAAAAAGTGCACGCCGTTGTGGCGCGAAGCACGTACAAGAGACATGTTCATCAGAGCTGTTAGGAGGTCCGGGCACTGATTTCCTGAGAGGGGTTGCATTTTGGAGCCTCTGATCTTCAGGTTTGCTGAGATGATTTTGCGTGACAGGTGCAGCACTTCGTATGACCTGGCACCACTTTTTCGTGGCAGGCGCAGTAGTTTGGACAGATGGACTGGAAAAATCGCTTTCCATTTTTGAAGGACGTCTCGCAGAATTGCTTCGTTTTTGATGTTGTCAACTGAAAGAAATGAGGAAGTCTCGCAGAATTGTTTCATTTTTGATGTTTTTTGATGTTGTCAGGTGCAAAAATTTAGGAAGTCTCGCTGAATTGCTGCGTTTTTGATGTTGTCAGGTTCAAAAACTGAGGACGTCTCGCAGACTAGCTTCGTTTTCAAGCTTGCAGATAGTTAGATAGATAGATAGATAGACAGATAGATAGCTAGCTAGCTAGATCGATCGATCGATAGATTGATAGATAGACAGATAGATAGATAGATAGATAGCTAGATAGGTAGATCGATCAATAGATAGATAGATAGATAGACAGATAGATAGATAGAGAGATGGAGAGATAGAGAGGTAGAGAGATAGAGGGATAGAGAGAGATAGAGAGTGATAGAGAGAGAGAGAGACAGAGAGAGAGAGAGAGATAGATAGATAGATAGATAGATAGATAGATAGAGCGATAGATAAATAGAGAGGTAATTAGATGAGAGAGAGAGATAGATAGAAAGATAGACAGATAGAGAGAGAGAGAGAGATAGAGAGAGAGAGAGATAGATGGATGGATGGATGGATCGATAGATAGATAGATAGAAAGATAGATAGATACATAGACAGATAGGTCGGTAGGTAGGTAGGTAGGTAGGTAGGTAGTCAGAGAAAGGGAGAGAAAGAGAGAGAAAGAGCGAGAAGGAGCGAGAAAGAGAGGAGACCTCAAGCACCGTTCGGTCCATCAGTGGCTTCTCTCTGCCATCCGTGATTCACAACAACCAAGCTCTCCTATAGGTTTCCTATTTTTGAACCTTCCGCCACCGCCTTGTACCAGTATTCCCCAAAAAGTCCCAATACCCAATTCCCAATACCCAATGCCATAGTCCCAATAAACCATGGTTAAACCCATTATTAACCATTGTAAACTATAATCAACCTAAACCCTAACCCTAAACATAATTCTTAGTTATTCTTCATCTATTGTCAACATTACCCCGGAATCGGCCCGTGGACCCGCGAAGCTGTCCGGGCCGACGTGGACGTGGTCGGTCCCGAGGATACGCTTCGGCTGAGCGTCATGGCCAGCCGCGTGGCAAGGGAGCCATTGCCAGATCAAGATTTGTTTTGTTTTTTAGTTTGGGATGTGTAACCAGCTACCATTGATATAACCAGAAATCTTGAGTCGAAATCAACGATTTTATCGGGATATAACCAGAAATAAAACTATTTTAATGGGATATAATTTAAATATAAATATAAATAAATAAATATATATATATATTAAACCAACTATAATTGGATATGGGTGTTAGTGGGAACTATTTGGAACCACCAAAGGCGTAAGCCAAACCAACCTGTAGACTCAAGCTAAACCAGATTTGTTTCAATTTTGTTTAGGTCAAGAATGACAATTTAATAAACATGAACTGGATTTTCCTTGGACATGAACTCGGAGGATTTTACATCTGCTGCCTTCAATCTGGGATTTAATAATGTTGGTGGCCGTGATGGGATCTCACTCCCTGCGACTTCAACAAACGGGTGGACAGGAGCAGTTTTCAAGAAAAACATTATCAATAAATATTGGATGTTTGATTGTCATGTTTGCTTGCTTGATCTTTGAATTTGTTGATGAAATTTGGCCATACGCCCAAACATTTTTATTGTTTTAGCAAAAGCACAAGCTTAGTTACCCTGATGCTCCATTTTTACTATTACTTCCATTTCTTCTCCATTGCCAAGCCACACTACATTTGGATGATTCACAAGGATTGCTGTTGGTGTCACATCGTTTTCGTTTCAAGATACAATGTTTTCTTGGTCCAATGGGAGCACTCCGTATTCCGATTCAACAATTCACAGATTCAATGGTACAATTTTATACATTTTTTGGGACAACAATGTTGAAGGAATCGTGATGAGTATGAGCTCATGCAGACCATGACGGAGAACCATCCGACATCTTCGACTTTTGGCCCAGCCCTTGGAGCAGCCCATCGATCAGACTGCAATCATGCATGGCCATCGCTCGAAGCGTGTGAGGAGCGACGCCGAGACCAACTCACATGCCCTCCAGGCCTGGGTCCGCCTGATCCTTCGGGCCATGATGATCATGTGTCATGCAGATCAACATCGTGTCCAACACCATCTCTGCATTCCTGGCTCTCGTGGCGTTCTAGCCCGCCAGATCGTGGAGATGGGCGAGCTGCTCAAGACGATGCAACTCGACAGGGTGGTCAACCAACTCAGCCGCGCATTACAAGAACGATCCGTGAGGGAAGTGTGGAGTCCAGGTCTCCAACTCCTACGGAGTGGTCGCGGGTGAGTTCAATTCGAGCCCCCGAGCAGAGGGGAACGTGATCCAGCAGGATGGCACCAACAACTCCAAGATCAATGCCTACGACACCACTCGGGAGACCATCCCGTCAACAGATCGACGGCGGGCCAACATGTGGGAGATTCCGAAGGACCTGGACATCAACAACGAGGCACCGAGGTGCCATTGCAATCAAGATGCTGCTCTATGAGAGGCCGCTGCGACGAGGAACATCGTCCACTGAAGTCTGATGCGTCTCTTCCCACTGACGTTGTGAGCGGCGCCACATCAGGAAGTCCTGGAAGTCCTTGTTGTCCTGTTCCACCTTCTCCTTGTTCATGGAGTTCCATGATGAGGCTTCTTGTTTGGCTGCTCGAGATTGTTGGAGCTTGATCCCCGCTTCGGTGGGCTCGTCGCGGAGAAGCTTGCCGCAATCCTTGCAATTTCACTTTGCTCTGAAGTCCGTTGGAACCTTCCTTGGTGGTTCTCTTGTGAGGACATAGATCTTGCTGTTTCCTCGTGAAATACTCCATGTTCGAATTGCCCTGCGAGTCCGGGCGCAGGGGCTGGTAAGTCAGCCATTGGAAGAAGCTGCATTGTTGGCTCCTCTCCCGTGCACACTTCCAGAACAAACGATCCGGGTTCCTTTCTGTCTTGGACTTCATGTGAGTGAAGCCGAAGCTGTTGCAGTACCAGTAAAGCTGGGCTTACGACGGCATATTTTTGGTTGTCTGAAGCGAGCTGAAACATCATGGTTGGAACTTCATCGACTCATTTGTGATACTCCAGAGAATGATCTTGATAGAACATGCCAATTGATTCGTGAATCGCTTCAACTACAACAACCACATATGAAACATCTGGCGGATCTATATTTGTTGCAGCCAAAACAGTTGAAGACAGTTGCGGAAGTTTGCAATCCGGGCCATTTTAGCCCCCATACACATGGTGATCAATGCATGTTTGGATTGGTAACCAATCGGGATGAACCAATGCGAAAAAGATCAGGATTTCTGACCAACAATTATTCCATTGCCAAAATTTTGAACCAGACGTGTGACCTGTCTCACACTCATCAACACGTCATGGGCCGTGATCGTGGTGCGTCGATCAATCGATCTCGGATGGCGCAGAAGTACCCCTTGAAGTTGATCATGGCCATTTTGGCGGCTTTTGCAAATTCGATTGGCCTTCCAAATGACTTGCTCTACGCCATTGATGGCCAGAAGACGATTGAGGCTGAAGACCACTTTGAGCTCAACCTGATCTTGGCTGGCGAAATCGCTAGCGGTCATGCTCTACCACTCTTACGCAACACTGGTCTTCAACCACGTCTTCCCGAGCAACCAGATGATCAAGCTCGAGCAGGCCCTGGGAAATGTCTTGGTGAACCTGGTGAGCACAAAGAACTACAAAATCCTCTGTCCCTGGAGGAATCGGAAAATGCAGAAGATCCAGAACATGTTGCTCCCGATGAAAAGGAGAACTGTCCAGGCACCCATCCATTGTCCCTGGAGGCACTTGTCAAACGAGCTCATGATGGACTAGGTCACCCTGGCAAAGATCGATTCTTGAGGATTCTGAAGAACAGCAAGGCCAGTGATCGAGTGCTGAACATTGCCCGAAAAATGAAATGTTCGGTTTGTGAAAAAATTCAAGTACCTAGACCATCAAGAGCCGGTGCACCACCAAAGGAAATTGGACTAAATGATCGAGGTTGTGGGTATCGACACTTTCCAGGTCCGTGTACCATTTTCCAACAAGACCAAGTACTGTCTCAACATTGTTGATTACAGTAGCAGTAGCCACTTCCAATTGGTGGTACCACTTGCAGGGCACACAGCACATGAAACTCGAGTATACCGCATGTGGTTGAAGATTTTGGACCGCCCCGAAAACTCTTGTGCGACCTGGGACATTAATTCCAAAAGGAATTTGAAAATCTGGCTGAAGCCGATGGCACTGAGCTTCTTCCTTCTTCCTTGGAGATGCCAGAACAACGTGGTTTTGTTGAACCAAGGTCAACTATACAAGGAGATGTTCTACAAAACACTGGGGCAGATAATCTGTCGAGATTGGCCTACTTGGTACCAGACCATTGACCTTGTGCTTTACCAAGAATCGATTACTGTCTCAAGGAGGTTTTTCTCCTGCCCAGCGAGTCTTCGGCTACCAGCAGCGCATTCCAGGTGGATTGATGTCAGAAGGAGAATCCGATCTGGCAGTGCAAAGCCTAGCCGCCATTGGAGACACCAGTGTGGCCAAAGCCATGAACATCCGCAAGGCTGCGGCCGTTGCGTTTCATGAGGTCGATTGCCAACAAGCAGTTCGAGCAGCCGCAACACATGGCCCTCGACCTCACTATTCCCACGAGACTGGCCAAGCAGTCTACTTTTGGCGACGGGCAACCGACACCGCCCGGAAACCTGCAACCTATTTTTGGCATGGTCCAGCTAAAATTGTAGCCCCCCAATTGCCATCTACAGCTTGGTTGTCATACAACCGGCATCTTGTCAAAGCAGCTCCAGAGAAGGAGTTCTTTTCCCTTTCTGGATGGCTTGAGGGCATCTCTCACGCCAAGAAGCAGTTTGAAACGGAGCAGATCAAAGGAGTGATTGACCTCTCCAAGGAACAAGATGATCTTCCTCCTCCTGCAGAAGATCAAGATTATACTGGCGACAAGATGGTAATTTTTGGGTGCGAGTCCATCTCCAAGAACGCCGTGAACTTTTCCAACCTGATGACAATGATCCAGACCTTCCCTTCTTCACTGCACAACTCAAACCTTGGCGGAAATCCAAGATGATCCTAGCAGGTGGCACTGAAGAAGAGACCCTGGAAGACAACCGGACGTATCAGGCAGTGATCCCACTTCATGGCGAGCTTTGGACTGGTGAAACGTGGTTTGAAATGGGAGATGGTAGTCAGCCACCTACACAACTCTACAAAAGAGATCCGCAACCTGAGCCATTACCCAGGAGACTGCGCCAAAAGACCAGCCATCCCGAGAGGGTGACAACTGCAAGGAAACTTTGTCTGACCATACGAGGGTGATACCTCCAGATGCTAAACCTCCAGAAGACCAACAACCAGAAGATTATGTAGCACCAGAATCTCCAATTCCCACACCCGATCAACTATCTGATCAAGACCAAGATGAACCTGGACCTGAGGAGACGATGAAACCAGAAGAGGTTCCAGTACCAGAGTCTGAGGACGGTGATCGGAAACGTGATCATGAGGCAGTCAGCCAAAGTCCTTCTGACTGGGAGCCCTTGCCAGTCAGCAAGAAAAGCCGACTGGAACTTTTGGAGGTCTACTACCAGGAGATTGCCAACAAGTCGGCCCAAAGACAGGAAAGGCAAGGAGGCTACTTTCAAAGAGTTTCTTGGTAAGGATTAGTAAGGATGCCGAGAGGCTTTCTAGAGCCATCCACAAGGAATTCAGCAACAACTTGGCCACTGGGGCCTACGAGCTTCTTGACCCGACGACATCTGAGTCAGAAAAACGGCACCTGAAAAGATCATGAAATCCAGGTATGTGCGGACCAAGAAACCCATCGAGGACTTTGCAGTTGAGGATGCGCTCTCTGCCGACGAAATCCTCGACGCATCACCACCAGGCCAACCATGCAAGGCGAAGTGTCGCCATGTGATGCAAGGTTACTCTGAATCAGCTAGAAACGAGCACCCCACAAGTTCATCGAGACTCTGTGATTTTTGCAGCACAACTGATGGCCAGCATGAAGTGGATCCCTGGTTTTGCAGACTTCACTCAAGCATTTCACCCTGGGGATCCCATTGACCGAGAACTTTATGCTGAACAACCTGCTGAAGGGCTTCCAGGTGTTGTACGTGGTCAGCTGATCAAGTTGCTCAAGACATGCTACGGTCTGACCGATGGCCCTTATACCAGTGGTTTAAACATATTGTTCGTTTTCTTTGTGAAGAACTTCAATATCGACAATCAGTGGTGGACCCATGCCTTTTCTTCTTAGACTCCATCCCCGATGAGCAGGGCAAGACCTATGTTGAAGGTGTGATCGCATTGGCCACTGATGATTTGTTCCACGGTGGATCAGCTCGCCATCTTGCCAAGATGGAAATTATCCGGAGCCGATACAAATTGGGAAAGTTCACATGGCGATCCGGTAGATTTGTGGGAAAAGCAGTCTCTTCTGGAAGATGGTTCCATCCAGTTGGATCAGAAATTCTACACAGAATCTCGAGTACAACCCATTGCAATCCCCAGAGATCGCAAACGAAGAAAATTCTCCTTGTGCAATCCTGATGAGGTTGAACAACTCCGAGCGCTGATTGGAGTTCCATCCTGGCTCTCAAAAGAAACGCGATGTGACCTTGCTGGGAAGACAGCCTTGCTTCAACAATCTTTCCCGAAGCCTTTGATCAGAGACCTGATCGCCGCAAATCAACTTGCCAAAGAAGCCTTAGACCATAAGGCTTTGGGCATTCGAGTTATGCCCATTCCCTTGGATCGCCTTCGTGCAGGCGTGGTGACCATTGGTGACCGATGCCTCATGGGGAAACTCAAAAGAATTTGGCACCTATCCTGAACAGGACGCAAACGACTGGTGGGAAGAGACTACGGATCGCTGGATACGACACCATGTCTCTGGTCGACACACAGCCTTCCATCCAGCGGCATGTCCTGATGGACCAGATCTACACGATCTTCAAGCTCAGAGATGCACCGGGATCAACGTGAACAACAGAACGTCAAACATCCAGGACTCTTGGACATCGAGTGACAGCTTACGTAGCTTGTCATCACAACCTTGGACTGGGTCCCGGGTCTACAACGTTCTATAAGCAGGAAAAGGGCGCCGTTCTTGACTCTAAGGAAATCATAGGAAATCCATGCGGGTTACGAGCAGCTGCGCAAGCTCAATAGCCAGGGCGGCGACATTGTGATCTTCTACGACCAGGAGCTTCCAGATTCTCAATGCCTTCAAAATGTATCCATTGCATCGTGGAAGAGCTACCGCCTGAAGCGCCAAACGGTGAACACATTGAGTTCAGAGACGCAAGCCCTTGTGCGAGGACTTGGATCTGTTCATTGGTATCGCATTTGGATTTTGGAAGCGAGAGGACTACAACTTTCAGCCCGAGAATGGCACCGAGAAGTAGCTCGGCTTCCTTTCATCTGCATTACTGATTCGAAGTGAGCTTAACGGTAAGATTCGTTGGGTGGATGGTCGAACGATGATCGCCGACCCCTTGACCAAGGAAGCTCGATCCGACCTTCTTCGCCATGTGATCCGCGCAGGCCAATGGTCGATTCTTGAAGAAGGATCGGCGTTGCAAGAAAGCCCTTAGAGCGAACATCTCGACATGAGGTGCTTTTCATTATCTAGGCCTGGCGAAAAGAAAGTTTAGCCGGTGCAAAGACTGCATCTGCCCGCTTGGTCACGCCATCATCCTCCACGGTTGCTTGCCTTGGCTCAAAACGGGGACTAGCCCAAATGGCAAAGCGCTGAGGTGAAAACCGGGGTGATCCGTCAGGGCTCGTTGTCACGCAATGATATATATATAATTATACATATAAATATATATATATATAATTATAACTAATATTAACTAATTATATACCTTATAATTCATTTTTGTTTTTTACGTTGCTGAAATAAGAGGCTTGAAGCACCTATATACCAAACAATTACATTCCACCGCAATATAAGACCGTGATTATACAGTTCATGCAAGCTTTGCTTCTATTCAATAGCATCTTCCTTCCGCAGCGCCAAATGGCTTCAGGACATTGAGCCAAATTTTCCAAGTAACATAGATGACATATGATAACATCGAAGAATTGCTTCTTTCGGCGGCTAGCGTGCCCCGTAATTGCCCTTCAAATTAGGCAAACAAAAAGCAAATGAAAGTCCTTGGGTGCTTCCCTAATAAGCCCCTATAGAATAAAAAGAAGTTTTTAAACGTTTATACAAACCGATCATCCGTGGACATGGCGACAAACCCCGTCTTTAATAGTGGAGACTTCTTCCTTGCATCTCTTATTTACAGGGCAAGCATCAATGACAAAGTCACCTGCGATGAGCTTAAGCACTTTCAACATCTTTCAACTCCAAGCACTGGTTTGCTCCTTGACAGCTTTGGCCCTTGCTGCGGCATTGTCTCACTCACTTGGCCCCCTTACTTTGCTTGACGTACTCCATGGCCTTTTCTGCTAGAAATGAAGTCAATCAAAGAACAGGTCCGCACTCACAAGTGATCGTAAAGCGAAAAACTGCAACAAGTGTGCCCTTTTATTTCCAAAGATTTCAAAACACTCGGTATCACTCGGTGTTGGTCAGTAGCACCATACCCAGGCGGGCCTTCAACATGGAGTCTGACACATCTTTGTCTTCAGCGTCCCGCCCAGTGCGTCGCAAACGGCGATACACTGACTGAAAGGCATCCAAGTGATCCTGGCTTTTGCAAACCTGATACCTTGGATGTCTTGGGGCCGGACAGCTTTTCGCACAAAATGAAAAGAACATGAAAAGATGCATTGCAGGAATAAACGAATGACTCGCCAGGTGCTTGCCTGCTGTTTGTATCAAAAAATCCACGTAGTGAAAAAAGTGGCCTACCTACAGTTTTGAACGCAGCTCAAGTGCAGCCACAGAACGTCTTGGCCACCCCAGCAGTTCTGTCCTTTGGAGTCTCTGCATACCTCAGTGCAGCATTTCACAGTCCCATGTCCAACTCTGCTACTGCCGTGATCAACTTGACCAGCATGACGGCATCATAGCACAAACTTGAGGCCAGGGGGGAGGTATGAAAGCTAGCAGGGCTGGGGTAGGGTGGTAATCGTACAGGGGGAACAGCAAGGTGAAGTCGGAATGCAGCAACGGTCTCACGCGGCTTTTTGGAGTTGCTGCAAGTCACAAACGGCTGCAAGTTACAAACAGTACCAATCTTTTGATGTTAATGAGGTTGCTGACCAGAACGATGAAGAAAATTGATGATGACAAAAGCGATGGTAACAGGAATGAGTTGACGACGCCGATGATGAGGATGTTGAGGATGATGATGATGATGATGAGGATGCTGAGGATGAGGATGAGGATGAAAATGAGGATGATGATTATGATGAGCGGCGGGGCTGTTGTAGGGTTGCAATTTGCAATATCTATTGGGTCCAGCAAGCGAAAGCCCCCCAATGCAGTAATCGTCTCTCGCCAGGTTTTGTAAGCAAAAGAAACGCGAGATCAAAAAAACATTAAAAAAAAACGCACCCCAAATGGAAATCCGAATCAGAATGTGCATACGAAAGATGTTCAAGACAATGCAACGTATGCATGCCTGCATGCATGTATGATCATGTATGTATGTAACATATGTAACGTATGTAACGTATGTAACGTATGTAACGTATGTATGTATGTATATATGTATGTATGTATGTATGTATGTATGTACGTACGTACGTACGTATGTATGTATGTAATGTATGTAATGTACGTATGTATGTGTGTGTATGTAATGTATGTATTGTATGTAAGGTATGTAATGCATGTAATGTATGTAATGTATGTAATGTATGTAATGTATGTAATGAATGCAATGTAATGTATGTATGTAATGTATGTAGTGTAATGTATGTAGTGTATGTAATGTATGTAATGTATGTAGTGTATGTAGTGTATGTAATGTATGTATGTAATGTATGTAATGTAATTAATGTATGTAATGCATGTAGTGTATGTAATGTAATGTAACGTATGTAATGTATGTAATGTAATGTAAGTAGTGTATGCAATGTATGTAATGTATGTAATGTATGTAATGTAATGTAATGTATGTAATGTATGTACGTAATGTATGTATTGTATGTATGTAATGTAATGTGATGTGATGTAATGTGTGTATGTATGTAAACGTATGTATGTATGTATTAATGTAATGTAATGTAATGTAATGTATGTATGTATATGTATGTATGTATGTACGTATCTATGCGATGTAATGCAATGTAATGCAATGTAATGTATGTAATGCATGTAATGTATGTAATGTATGTAATGTATGTAATGTATGTAATGTAATGTATGTAGTGTATGTAATGTATGTATGTAATGTATGTAATGTATGTATGTATGTATGTAATGTAATGTAATGTAATGTATGTATGTATGTATCTAACTATGTATGTATGTACGTATCCATGCAATGTAACGCAATGTAATGCAATGTAATGCAATGTAATGCAATGTAATAGAATGTAATGTATGTAAAATATGTAATGTATGTAATGTATGTGATGTAAATGATGTATGTGATGTATGTGTTGTATGTGATGTATGTGATGTATGTGATGTATGTGATGTATGTGATGTAATGTGATGCATGTGATGCATGTGATGCATGTGATGCATGTGATGCATGTGATGCATGTGATGCATGTGATGCATGTGATGTATGTGATGTATGTGATGTATGTTATGAATGTAATGTAATGTATGTAATGTATGTAATGTATGTAATGTATGTAATGTATGTAATGTAATGTAACGCAATGTAATGCAATGTAATGTATGTAATGTATGTAATGTATGTAATGTATGTAATGTAATTAATGTATGTAATGTATGTAATGTACCTAATGTATGTAATGTATCTAATGTATGTAATGTATGTAATCTATGTAATGTATGTAATGTATGTAATGCATGTAATGTATGTATGTAATGTAATGTATGTAATGTATGTAATGTATGTAATGCATGTAATGTATGTATGTAATGTAATGTATGTAATGAATGTAATGTATGTAAGGTATGTAATGTATGTAATATATGCAATGTCTGAAAGAAAGAATGAATAAATGAATGAATGAATGAAGGAATGAATGAATAAATGAATGTCTGTCTGTCTGTATGTATGGAATGTATGTAATGTATGTACTGCATGTAATGTATGTATATAGTGTATGTAATGCATGAATGCATGCAATGCATGTAATGTAGGTAATGTATGTAGTGTATGTAATGTATGTAATGTATGTAATGTATGTAATGTATGTAATGTCTGAATGAATGAATAAAAACATGTCTGTATGTCTGTATGTCTGTCTGTCTGTCTGTAGTAGCTGTATGTATGATGATGGTGTGGATGTGGATGCTGGGGATGATAATGAGGAGGAGGAGGGTAATTATGATTATGATGATGATGAGGAGGATGACGATGAGGATGACGATGAGGATGAGGATACTGAGGATGATGACGATGATGATGATGATGATGATGATGACGAGGTAGAGGAGGAAGAGGAACAGGAAAACAATCATGATCACCTGGAAGCCGGCAAGTTTCCGATGATGTTTTTATAGAGTTGATGGTTGGTTGACTGAACATGACATCCTGAGAGCAAATACTGAAGATGACGGCCCTATACCTGCAGGAAACCAATGGCCCAGCGGGACCAGGGGATGAGGATGCTGATCAGCGATGATGAGGACGAAGAGGATGATGGGGATGAGGATGAGGAAGAGGATGGGGATGAGGATGATGATGAGGATGAGGATGATGATGATGATGATGATGATGATGATGATCATGATCATGATCATTATTATGATGATGATGATCATGATGATGATGATGATGATCATGATGATGATGATGATGATAATGATGAGGATGAGGATGATGAGGATGATGAGGATGAGGATGAAAATGAGGATGAAAATGAGGACGATGACCCTCTACCAGCCGGAAATCTCCTCTCGGGGGGCTCGGGGGGGACCAGGGGGGGATCGAACCTGGGCCTGCCAGGGGGGGGTCTAACTTGAAAGTTTCTTTCAGGGTTTTCAATGGTCCTGCTGCCTGCCTATTCCTTGCTAAAGCAAGAGCAACTTCAGCTAGCACAAGCTAGCTTTCGTGACACCATGGACATCATGAAAATCATGGACGTCATCGTCATCATCATCATCATCATCATCAACAAAATATATCAAAATCATCACCAGTATCAATTTCATCCCGGAAACCAGCGAAAACTGAGCCAAACATATGCGAGGATTTTTATTGGTTGACTTGGCATCTCTCGTTGCACTTTGGCATTGCAGCGTTCACACATGTTCTAGAGCAAGCAAACCAGGAAGCATAGAAAAAGAAGCTCAAAGTTTCACAATCTGTTGCTTCTTTGATATCTATCAAAGTTCTCAAACAACGCGATAGCTGTAAATTTGGCCAAGGCTGTGCAATGCCTTGTGCTCACTGCTGCAAAGCTGCATTCCCGGCCCAACAGAAGCCTCCTGCTGCAAACGCTGGCCTGTTAAGGCCAGTGCGTTTGGGTGCAATTCAGTATTGTTTAGCTTGCCTATCCTGAAACTATGCAGTTGCCAACTTCACAGCGGAAAACGAGTGAGGTTGGGGTGAACGGTTAATTAACAGTCTGGACCGGTCTAGGAGTCTAGGAGAAGTCCCTACCTACTCCAGTAGGCTTGGGCACATCTGTCAATCTGCTGAAACAATGTCGCCTAATCAACCCTTTTGTGCATGCAGCAGCCAGGGTGCTGCTCATCTTCGTCTCTGTCCGGTTGCTGAGCCGATCATCTATACCTCAAGGGAACAAGGCGATCGCCAACTTTGCAAATTGCCTGCACGTATAAAAAGCCACACAGTAGCTCCTGACCTTCCTGAAAATATACAAAACATTGTACACCAAGCATCACCAAATACTCCAGTCCACATGTTGGTATAAAGTTTCAACACTTGTGCTATGAGAGCCTTTTTGAGCCTGATTATATACATTATACACCATGGCCATGATATGTCTTGGACCAAGAAGCTCTGCGATGCGCTGTCAGTTGGAACCTTGATTAGCGGGAAGACTGTTTCCATGCCTTCTGCTGCATAACACTCGATAAGAATGCGAAACATATTTGCGGATTTTCATATCCGTCACTGCGTGCCTCCAGGTCCGCATTTGGAAGCAGCGCCCCCTCGACGCAGTATCGGCCCCGAAAACTTTGCTCTTGTTTTTCTGGCTTCAATGCGTCTGCCTACAGGATTTCTTGGTGGCTTCAGAGGCAGCTCACAAGGAGAAAGGTGCAAAATGGTGCAAGTGCAAACTATATGCAACCATGTGCAACCACGTGCAACCATTCATTTGGCGCTAAATTCACGGCACTTTTCGGGTTGATTTTGCTTGATCCAGTTTGGACCGTCATGTGAGTTCCCGTCAAAATCCTTTACATCTGAGATCATCTGAGAAGTTGCTATTGCTATGGTTATCGCTTTTGGGGGGGCCATATCGCTTTCCAGGGTTTTGTGCAAATCAGCATATTCAAGATCCAACATGAAGCCAAAATCCATTCCTAAACAGGCTTGGAAATCGATCGAGGAGTTGTTTTGTTGGTTTCAGGTGCTTCGGCGACAACTAATGTCGCTTTCATTTCGCATTTGTTTCCTTTCATTTTCTTTCATTTGTATTCATGTCCTTTCATTTTCCTTTCATATTCACTTCGTGTTCCAATGTGCATTCACTTCCTTTCATCTTCCTTTCGTTTGCATGTATTTTCCTGTCATTTGCATTCATTTCCTTTCAATTCCTTTCTGAGGTTATGGAAATGGGTTTATGGCTGGGCCAGGGGACCCAGTGCAACAAACGGTTATCACTAAGTTATCGCTAAATAACGCCTACAACATATGACATTGTTCGAAGAAGATTTTCCACAAAACGACGCAGACAGAGAGAGAGAGAGAGAGGGAGGGAAGGAGGGAGAGAGAGAGAGAGAGACAAAGAGAAACAGAGAAAGAGAGCGATCGAGTTGGATGCCAAATGATATGGTAACTGCAGGAAATGGAGCACCACAGGTTGATTTTCCCTCATCGATTTTGCCCGTTGGGTGAATATGCGCAACAGATTTTGCCTGGCTTACGCCAAGCTTAATGGACTGCCGTGTATGGTCCCAGGTTATCGCTTTTGGGGGGCCCTATCGCTTTACAGTGTTTCGTGCACATCTCTGACAAAAAACTCCTGCAGTACTAAATAAAGTGGTATTCAACCAATACTAAATAAAAGTGGTCTTCAACCATTTTGACCGTGACTCATATGGCGATTTGGAGATCTTAGCCTAGAAACCCAGTTTTTTACCGATTGCTCTATGCCAGCTATCTTGAATGAGCAAGTAGCTTTCTGCTAAATGTTGTACAGCTTCATTTTGAATTCTGACATTGCCTGAGGATGTACGCAATTGTTCTTGGTTTTTGAGCTGTGATGAATCGCTGGCTCAGAGATTCTCTTAAGCACGAATTTCTTCCACGTTTTACTTCAACCCAAATCAACCCAGCTGAACTAAGATGTTTGGCATTGTTTGGCGATTCTGCTTTGGCTGGCGTATCAACATGTATACGACTCATTTTGACCCATGACTCATGACTCGACACATTAGCGCTCACATATTAATACACGATAATACCGAGATAATACAAGGCAAGGGATCAAAGCAAAGCTGCACGACTCATGACTCGACGCGACTCCATTGCCTCTCTGGCCTTGCCTTTGGAGCTCCAGCGCCTCCAACACACTGAGCACCGTACGATACCGTACGTCAGTGAATCGTCAGTGTATGTCAGTGACAAGATATGACAAGATTCATTGTTCACATCTGTTCACATCTGCTCACCATGGGCGTATCTCATCATTATCATTCAATTCATTCAGCATTGCACGAAACTAGCAATCCAGTATTGCTGCCGATTGCTACCATGGAAGCCGGAAGCCAGGAACTTGGGGTTAAGGTTCTAAGTTTGTTTAGCATTAGCCTGCTGTTCCACTGACAGAACTTCCTACCAAGGTTGAATTACAGTACTGCCGACTATCTATGCTCAGCCACGCAATATATTCAACACACATTTATGATCATATACGATCATCATTGATCAGATATACTCGGTCATACCCGGTCTATTAATCCATTCAGGGAACGGCAACAGGTCAGTATTATATACAGTATTATGTCTGCTTGGGGCCACCATGCTGCTCAGGGGCGACTGCTGCCAGCATGCCCTGCTTCTCTGGATCAAACCTGACCATCGTCCCCAGCAGGATCACAAGTCGCGACTGTCAATCAATGAGATTCAACGAGTAACCTTCGCTGTCCAAGACCTCTTGCGGAAATAGCGTTAGCAAATCAATCACTTGAAGGCAACTGAAATGCGTAATACCCCTTTGGACCACCCAGGGAGGCTCACACATTGGGGAAAATTTTGGTAGCACAAAGGAGGATAATGTGCATACATCTGCACACAGTATATATCAGTATATCGTAAATGAATCGCATCACCATCTCCCGCTGGACCTCTCCTATGCCAGTGTAGCGCCCTTGCTGCCATGGACTCAAAACTTGTTTGCGATGTGCAAATGTTGAAGTACAACCCAAGGCCTTGCAAAAGCAATCATTCCTTCCTTGCCCTTGAAGTTTGATTTCTTGATCATATCGGGAAGGTTGGAGCAGCCTCATCTAGTTGCTGTGCGTCCTTTTGCACTCATGTGCAAGTAGCAATAAGTAAAATACGAAGGCACTGCAATCATTGCGTGTCATTGTAGACACCCCAGTATCTCACGTCTTTCCGCCGTATTTTGATATGGTGTGAGTGGTTTGCAGGCATCCCAGGCATTCCCTGCTGTCCAGTCATGGAGTCGTATCACCGTACACCACTGTACAAAATGATTGGTGGATTCTGCGAGTCAGCCTTGAACCATGCATCACCACAACATAGAAAATATAAATGGCTCATCGCATGAAGTGTCTGATCATGTCTGATCTGTGCCAAAAAACGAATCCAAATATATACATTAAAGTTAAAGTGCCAAGAACTTGGCTTCAGTATGCTTCACTGTGATCACGTATGATCCATCGGTTTCCATCGGCGTAGGCATGCGTAGGCACTTTATGGCATTTTTGTCGCAAAACTGTACATGGCTTTGTCATCTTTGAGCGTTTTCTTACGGCACCGCTGCCTTCATGCTCAAAAAACTAGGGCAAACTCCGGGCTATCCGCAGGAGGGCCGCTGGTAGGGCCGCTCATAGGGCCGCTTATTTTCCCTTACCGAGGTTGAACTTGAAGAAGATCACATCTCCAGATTGCACCTGTGCACACTTGCAGTTCTGGAGTTTGCCTTTTGTCATCAAGCTCCCATGCTCGCACCTCATAGTTTTTGCCTTCCTGACGATACTTTCCGGCTGCCTGGAAGCAGCATCAGGGCCAAACATGCTTCATATTCCTGTGCCTGTGACCTTGGTGAAATGTTAATGGGATCTTCAGAATTCTGCAGAACTTTACAAAGTCGGGTTACTGTACAAGCAACAGCGACATCCAAAGATTGCTGCATCTGGTTTTGCTTTCCCAGCTCATACTTGAATATGGTGGCCGGCAGGTCGTCGCTTTGGATCTTATACCATTTCCTCCAACCTGTGAATTCCTGGCTCCCTCCCAAACCTTTTTGATCTACATGCACAGCCCAATATGTGGAAAACACGGGCAGCCGGATTGAGCAATGTTCGAATGTAACTCACAGGTGGATGAACATGAAGCCCGCCCTAGCATGGCTAACAAATCGAAGGCAAATAACTGCTCTCGAAGCCAAGTGCCAAAGAAGAATCCCAATAAACCCACGTCAGCAAAGCATCCTAACTCTGCTTTGCAAGGCCTTCACATTGGCCTCACTGCCCAATTCTTTCAAGTCAGAGAATGACATGACCTCCGCCATGATAAAACCTGGCAATGCAGCGAAAACGTGCAACAACTGTCAACTCAGCGACAGTGTTGCATTCGTTCCTATCTGTGACAGGAACAAATATGCGATTGTGAAGAAGCAACCGAAAACTCTGAACACGAACTGCGGAAACCGTATCCTACTATGCTCAAGCGGGTTGATCACATGGCCGGGTCAGTATCTTTCATGGTCACTAGCAACCTGTAGAGTTGGCAAAAA